TATATATATATATATATATATATATATATATATATATACAAATTAAATATTATATTCTATTAGTTTTTGAAACTAATTATATTATTGATGATTTGTTAGCTTGGTGGACCTAGTTGGACTGTATTACTCGGAAGAAGAGACTCAACCGACTGCAAGTTTGAGTACCGCAAATAGTGACATACCTGCACCAACTTTAAATCTTAGCAGTCTTATTTCTTCCTTTTCTAATAAAGGTTTCAGTTCCAGAGAAATGGTCGCTCTCTCAGGTTTTTTTTTTACATTAAATATTTTTTTTAAATCAAGTCACGAGATTTGCGTACGCTAAATTGATTTTTTTTTGGGATTGTACAGGTTCTCACACGATAGGACAAGCAAGATGCACTACTTTTCGCGATCGTCTCTATAACGAAACTGATATAAATGCTTCATTCGCTACAACGGTTAAATCGAACTGTCCACAAAGTGGAAGTGACAATGACATCTCTCCATTAGACGCCACAAGCCCAACCACATTTGATAATATTTACTATAAGAATCTGCGAATTCAAAAGGGTCTTCTTCATTCTGACCAACAACTCTCTAGTGGAGGCTCAACAGACTCTATTGTTAACACTTATAGCTCTAATTCAGCCACTTTCTTCACTGATTTTGCTAACGCCATGGTGAAAATGGGTAATCTTAGCCCACTTACTGGCTCAAATGGTCAAATCCGCAAAAATTGCAGGAAGATCAATTAAGGTTTCGTATAAAAACGAGATTTTCTAAAATTTGATATCGAGATTTCAAGTGTTATGTTTTTTTTTTTAATTATTATTGAACTTGGATGTTCTTGTTTTGTTAATTTGGAGGTAAATGAGGCAAAGTTCCCCCCTCCAATGTGTAACTTTTTAATGGTTGAAATAAGATAATTAATGTTTTTATATGTTGAATTTATTGACTTGATTAGACTTCATTTTATTTGGAATGTTTCTTATATTTTTTTGTTTTTTTTTTTTTTTTTCATAGATTTTGATGTGATATGTAAGTTATTAATTTGAAGAAAATTATTTTTTGTAGATGTTTGTCAATCATCAAAGTTAATCACAACTCATATTAATAAAAAATTTTAATTTTGATACTGACAAAATTTATATACATCTCCAGCATATGAACCAACATCAATCATCGATAATGACTTTGTAACATTTTAGATCTTGCATGTAAGTCTAGGGACTCAAGGTCTACTCAGTGTAACCCTATAAATAGCTAAAGACAAAAACTTTTTAAAAAGTCTTAAAGTACATTTCATCTTCAATTAAATAACTTTGGGCGACTTTACTCCTTGCAAAAAATTGGTAAAAGCTAACGATAGTATGAAAAATGTTAGCTTCTGTTAGTTAGTGCACAAGCTATTTAAATGTGCTAAATCAAATAATATAAAGACTGTGAATGAAATAAGATGATAATTTAAAGATCAAAATCATTATCTTTATTGTTATTATTTTTTTAAAATTCAAATGATATAAAAATAATGCAACTTTTCGCGATTTGTATTGATTCCATTCAGGCAACAAGTTCGCTATTAGATGTATACATCCAACTCAGTTAAGTTAATCAATAGTCAATCACAAAACAACATAATAAAGATTATACACCAAAAACATTTGTTAGTTTTTTTTAAATAAATATTTAACTATCTCAAGTTATTAATAACATATAGTATTAACTAAATATTATTAAATAATATTAGTATTTACTGTGTACTAATCCTAGTTCTATTAGGATTAATACTCCTTAATCCTAGTCCTATTATGATTAGTACTCCTTCCTATATCTCCTATATATATCTCCCATGTATTCCCTTATTAGGTTAACACTTCAATACAATCAATATTCCTTCATGGTATCAAGAGCCAGAAAACCTAGATCTTCTTTTCTCTAGGTTTTTTCTCTCTCTTTATGGCACCGATCGTTCCCTCTCTTCTCTTGGGCGGCGGCAGCCATGACAACCGAGGTGGATCCTCTCGATTCACTTCCTTCTGGCGTTAAACTCCTTCTCAGGCATCTTCATGCCCTGATTTCCGAAAAATTATCAGACATAAATTACCCTACATGGAAAATCACCGTTTTTACAGCCCTTGAGGCCAATTATCTTATCAAATACGTCGATGGAAGCACAG